TTATGTATGTATGTATGTATGTATGTATGTATGTATGCATGCATGTATGTATGTATGTATCAGAAGATCACAAATGAGATGAATGCAATTGTGACTTTCTGCTTGCAGTTTCCAGTGAATGATAATAAGGATTATACTGGCTGTAAATGTGGAAGTAGTATACAGCCATGATGACTAATAGTCTTCTCCATGAAGCTGTCCATTCTCCTTAAGACTAAGCTGTTTTGATATTTTTTAGAAGCAAATTTTATAATTTAAGGCTGTGCTGGTTGAAATCTTTCATCCTGTCATGAATATATCACCATTTATCTTCCCTGAAGAAACAAACAAGCAACATATACACATACAACCAATGGACCTATAGCATCTCGTAGCAGAGATCAAACTTTCAATGAAGGAGAGGTGATTATTTCTCACTTGCAATCTATAACTTTGCTATTACCAATCGAATTGCCAGATTCTCATCAGTAGTTATCACCATACTAAAACTTAAGGTGCCCTAATTTTGGAACAATGTATGAGGATGTTCTTTCATTCTTTTCTTTTTTCTTTTACCTATTTGGTTTTGCTTTGTTTCATTCTCTTCTGTATACTCCTACTACATATATATTTTAATTGGCAAGTCAATGTCCTGGTTTTATTGCTCCAATTCTATTTGAGCCTACTTTTTATATGTTGCTTTAGTGTTATGGCTACTTTGTTGGCCGCTGACTATAAAGAAAAATTTAAAAGCTTAAAAAAAATAAGAAGCAATTTCTAGCAGTATGAAACAGAACCATGGAAAAACTTTCTCTGTAAACACCAGCACACGTGTATATTTCTAGAGTGCTTATTTTTTTCGCTTTCATTTTTTTTCTAAGGTGAACCTTTCCAACTCTTGCAAATTTCCCTTGTAAAAAAGTGTACTTGAGTTGCCCTTGCCTATACCTTTTTCCACTTGATGATAACCTTTTGAGGTTCCTGAAGCAGAACTGCATAGACTATTAGCTGTACAATTAAATTACTGATCTGTATACAAATTTGCCGCTATTTGCAATTAAGAAATTAAAAATTCTTGAAAGTAATATGAAGTATTCTTCGCTCGGTTTAAATATCTCTATTTAGAATTCATTTCCTTCACCAAATACATTTTTTGTTCCTCAGATATCAGATATTTTTCATGTCTGATCGTCTTTAATAGATTATCTTTTTTTTTTGATACTATTATACTGCTTCAGTTGAGTGACTCTTCCAACTTTACATCATTCTGCCACCTAATTAATTGATGGCATAGAAACAGGGCTAGCCTGAAATCGTTAGAGCATAATCTATGCTTCTTTACCAGGATGTGGACTTCTCAGCATCCTTGTCCTTTGCCATTTTCATCAGAGAAAAATTATATAGAGCATTAAACAAAATGATAAAAATGCGTAATGCTAAAAAAAACGTATCATGCTAAACAAAAGTGGAGCTAATAAGTCTTGAACTTTGAAACATGCCTGAACCACTAAGGAATCCCAGAAATAAATGAAAGAGCAAGCAGGTGCTTCAATAGCTTTAAATATTGCGTACAATAGCAATAGCACTTAGACTTATATACAGCTTTACAGTGTTTTATAGCCCTCTCTAAACGGTTTTACAGAGTCAGCATCTTGCCCCCAACAATCTGGGTCCTCATTTTACCCACCTCGGAAGGATGGAAGGCTGAGTCAACTTTAAGCCTGGTGGGATTTGAACTGCCAAATTGCAGTCAGTCGTCAGTCAGCAGAAGTAGCCTGCAGTACTGCACTCTAACCACTGTGCCACCGCGGCTCATCCTCTGACCTGTGTGTTACAGCTCCCGTCCTGCAATTATTTGGCTTGGGATAAAGGTGATTGTTAATGCATATATTTTTTCCTGCACTTATGGTTTGATTTCTTTAGATGTATCTGTTTCTTTTCCTTTTATAGTTCTCATTTTTAAAATGTGAGACAGCCAGAGCCATCTGGGAATTGGGCAGGCTCTAAATCCAATAAAATAAAAGAATAAATCCCCCCCTTTTAAATGTTCTTTATATGTTCACATTATTTATGGTTATTATATAATGCAAAGTTACCTGGATGTTCACAGAATAAAAACAGCAAATTACCTGTTGCAATCATTTTAAGAACTCATCTCCTGAAAACAGCCACATCTGTTGTTTTTCAGGCTCAAGCAGAATCTTTAATGAACTTTTGAAGCACTGAGACATGCAGTCTACCACAGGGTGGAGAGTGGAATGGCAAATTCTGGTAAGGGGTTAACCAATCTTTGTGGTAGCTAAAATACTAGACTGGGGTTAAGGAAATTTGTGTTAAAGTAGCTTGAAAAAGAAACTCAATAAATGTCTTGGGATTGTTCCCAATCTCAGTCTAATCTTCCTAAAAGATGTTGTAAGATTAAAATGAAGAACAATTCCATTGTGTGTTATTCTGAACTAAGAGAAGAAAAACAATGAATAAATATTTTAATTATTCAACGTTCCATTGTACGTGCAATGTTGATTCTATTTAGTTTTTAGCTAGAATAAATGCTGTGTGAAGTACATAATGTGCTTGAATAAAGATTGTAATATTTCTTTTGAAACATAGTTCTGGTTTTCTTTCATATTAGTTTTACTTTCTTAACTTTCTTCACACATTTCCATTGATTGTGCAATTTGTTTAAATTATATGCTAATATCACCTTTATTAACACCAGGAAGCCCATTAGGACAAATCCAAATATATGTAAATAGCCTTAATGCTTGAAATAATAAGGAATCCTGGTGATGCAGTAGTTAGAATGCAATATTGCAGGTAAACTCTGCCCACAGCCTGAAGTTTGATTCTGACAGGATTCAAGATTGATTCAGCCTTCTATCCTTATAAGGATGGTAAAATGAAGACACAGATGGTTGGGGGCAATATGCAAATAATGCTGACATTGTAAACCACCCAGAAAGTGTTTAAAAACACTTCGGGGGTGAGGGTGGCTTTAGGACTTTTAGGCTCCTACCCTTGGCCACGCCTGCTTCTCCGCCAGTGTCCTGCCTCCACGCATTAACCTGTATTTTTCCTCCTTGGCTGCCCCGCCAGATGTTCATCCTGGCCAATGGCCCTCTGTCCCACACCCTTTGGCGTGGCCCATTCACCAAAACAGGTTTTGTCCCAGGCTTTTGGCCACTCGGGACAGTTAGCTGCCAATCAGCTAACTGCCAATGTTGGCAGCCAGAAGCCATGGTGTGATCGATTGCAGGGGGGCTTTGGGTGAGGTGCTGCAGCCAAACAGCCTCAGGCACTTGTTAGGAGAAAGAAGGGGAGGGGGTGAAAGCTCCCCTGTACCTGATCGTGCCTCCCTGACAAACAACGGGCAGTGTTTGCCACTGATGACCATTTTTTACACTTATGGCCATTGTAATATCCCAATGGTCACATGATTTCAGTTGGATGCATAGCAACTGACTCACATTTATGATGGTTGCAGCGTCCTGGGGTCATGCGATCTCCCTTTTGCAACTGTCTGACAAGCAAAAGTCACTGGGGGAACCAGCTTCGCTTAACCATTGTCTGACTGACTTAAACAACAATCCACTTAACAGCAGTGGCAAGAAAGCTCGTAAAATGGTTCCAAGCTCACTGAACAGCTGTCTCTCTTAGCAACAGAGATTTGGGGAAGCCAGATTCACTGTGTGACTGCCTTAGCAACCGTTCAAGTTACAACGGCACTGGAAAAAGGGACTTATGATTGTTTTTCACACTTAACGACCGCTGCAGCATCCCCATGGTCAGGTGATCCAAATTCGAATGCTTGGCAACTTACTTATGATGGTCTCAGTGTTCCAGAGTCATGTGATCCCCTTTTGCGACCTGACCAACGAAGTCCACAGGGAAGCTGGATTCACTTAAGGACCATGTGACTTACTCAAGAGCTGCAACTATTTGCTTAACAACAGTGGCAAGAAAGGTCGTAAAGTGAGTGAAAGCTCACTGAACAGCTATCTCGCATAGAAATGGAGTTAGGAGGCTCAATGGTGGACATACAGTAAGTCGAGGGGTACCCTTACCCTTCCCTTACGAATGTGTCCATCAATGGTAATCCAGAAGGCCTTTGCTCTCAAATTCTCAATCTGGTTCACAGTGATTGACATCCATTGTTGGAGGATGGATTGATCAGATTATGTGGGCTGAAGTTAAATACCCAGATTCACTCCCAATTATTTTAGGAGATTTTAATAAAGCAAACTTAAGTCCTTTATCTGAATGGCTATTCAATTTCTTAGAGATTTTGCTTCTTTTGTTGAAACATCCTTCTATTCCTTGTTATTGATGAAAAATGATATTCAAATACCCATAGAAAATTGGCTTCATTTAAGCTTCCTTAACTGCCAGCCAATTGCTGTTGCTTCACAGCTCACATATCAAGAAATTGGAAATTTCTCTAGATAAAGAGTGGCTTAAGAGAAATAGTATCACATCTTTGACCATAGTTATGTTTTTAAGGCATTCTTAGGTTGCTTTTATAAGACATATTTTATTCATAATTTTACCTACTGTAGTTGAATTCTTGGGGTGATAATTCTGTACCTTTTTTTGGCCTGGTTAGTTCATCTATCAAAAGCAGCATTATATTACATGTATATACTGTATTATGTTAAGAAGTGCTGTGTCTCACAGAAATGGAAGTGTAATTGTATAACAGAATTCAAGGGTTTTTCTTGTCATGAGGCCTTCATCTGTATTCGGGGGAGAGGGGCAGTATGGAGAGTCTGAAGGTTGGCTCCATTTTCTTTATTTTTTTGCATTTGGGGAGATTGGAATGATTTAAGTAATGAAACAAGTGATTTAACTACCCCCAAATTTGTTGGACTTTTACACGGCTGACATTTTGTTCCTAACTTCCAAATATAAAAGGGTTAAAAAAACTATTACATAATCATCAGCTACACCCCTGTCTGCTGAGAAAGGAAGGAAGAAAGAAAGAAAGGAAGGAAGGAAGGAAGGAAGGAAGGAAGATTTCTTGCTACAAGAAAGTTTATTTCTTTATTTAAAAGATTTGTGTATCCGTCCATTTCAAAACAGAAGTCTGGGAGATGTCTATCTCTGCTGTTGATGATGATCACAGTGGTTATATCTGTAAAGAAAACAATGAATGAAGAAAGGTATTAAGTCTTTTTCTGTGAATGACACAGTTTTGATCTAGATCAACCCCAAACTCATTTCAAAATAAAAGAAAGAAAACCCCGAACTCTGTGACTCGAACACTACATATTTAGCATAGCATTTGATTTGGCTATGTGAGAATACATCTTGTGTCTTGAAATAGCTGATTTCACATCTTTCCATGTTTCCAAAACTAAAAAAAGGGAACAAATCATTATTACTATTATTAGAAGGAAATTAAGGTTTAATGTGTATGTTTAGTGCACATATCTAATAGATGTAGAAGCTATAGTCCCACTCAGGTGTTCCTAATTATATCTTAATGGCTACTCCATGCTCCTTATGGATTTCATCCATCGAGGCAGACCAATTGGCTGTAATTTATAGCAGATGCTTTCTAGAGAGAGCCACATTTTCAGGCCAGATTGTGTACACTAACTATTCATATTGTCTGGCTTTGCTTTCTTCCGATGTTAGCATAAAGCATACTCTTAGCTTTAGTGGAGTTTTAGATTTGTCTATAAAAATACTATTAAATAATCTTTATTAGAAGGAATGAAAATTTAAACTAAAGCAAAACTCACGCCACAATTAGCAAGACAGCTAAAAGCTGTTTAGAAATAGATTCTGCATGAAATACTATGATTGCATGAAACATCATCAGTGGATACATCAATGTATGAACATGTTTTCAGACATCAGTAGCTGAGTGTACAAGCTGTAGCCAAATGCCTATAATTTCAGTTAAAGCATTATCACAGATTTCATGATCTGATGCTTTAGATTTTCAGACGGACAGCCTGGCCATGTGGAAACATTGTCATTTTTCTACTGCCAGAAATCTTGTCTAGTGGAAAACAGCAAATGTTCACAGAATGTCTAATTGACATCAGACTGTATGTTTTTAACATGTAAAAATACCGAAGGGCCTAGAATCTGACTGATTTATTCATAGACCTAGGATACATTTTTCATCAACAAAAGCTTCTTCTAGTACAAATGTATTACCCATTTTCTGTTGTGTAAACTGAAATAATGATTGCATTTGAACTAAACTAATGTGCTGAGTTTAATTTTGATATTCTTGTAAGCCTCATGCTGCAAGCTTAAGTTACACAAGTAGCAAAATCTGGGATAAACTGAATGATCTAAAATGAAACCTAGGCAAAGAATAAATGAGAGAGGAAACCAGTGAAGACAATGTAATTAGACTAAAAAACAGTAGAAATAAAAATAGTGTGAAAGAATGAGCATCAGCTAACACTGAATATATCAGCACTAGAACTTTTCTTTTGTATTCATTTAATGATGATGTCTTTAGACTTTAAGGCTGTTCTTGAGAACCAAAGGTGAAAACACATATATAATTGAATGACTTTGGGTAACCTGAGGCATGCAGCATTATCCTCGGAAGTGGTTTCTTTGCATCTTCTATTTAAATACATCCTATGTGTCCCAGATCAAGCACACCTACAAATATATAAAGAGAGGGTTTTTTTCCTCTTTACTAAATGAGTTTTGCAAACACATACTTGTGATAAAGAGACAAGTTCCTCCCCAAATTCAGCAAGAGTTTGACTTGTTTGACTTACAAGAGTTTCAAATCAAAGCAGCATGCAGAAGAGTAGTTAGTCAGAGTCTGAAGAACAGAGTTTGTAGCAGAATCATCAGCCGGCCCAGGTTCAAACTCTGTTAACAGTTTGCAGCAATCCAACCAGCACATGTGTAAATAATTCAGCAGGATTCATGTATAAAAGAAACTTATTTATATACAGTAATATAAAGCATAATGCATGTATACAATACCCATGCAGCAGAAGCCAGAACTAGAAATCACAGAAGCAATAATCATCCTTATATATATACACACAGTTCAGTCAAGCTAAGCCACGCCCAGGCTCTGAGCCATCTCCCCTGACACACAACAGATCCTGTGTCTTATCACCAAACAGTTCCCATTGGCTGACATGTTGTTATGGCTATCCCAGCTCATAATTACACTGACAAACTCAGAATTGTGAGCTTTACAAGTCAAGATGGAAAATGGAGTCAAAATGGAGTGGGAATTAATGAGTAGTTATTGCAAACCAAAACATTTTGCTTGCTGTCCCCACTTTAATAGAAATAACCCTGATGTAATTAATTTAGTGAGGTGGAAATCCTTCCACACAAGAAGTCTTGTAGTGAGCTTTTGCTCTATGATGCACCTTCATCTTCAGAGAGTGATGGCATTTGTATCTGCTGATAAGTGGTATTTCTAGTCTCCTCTGCCTGCTCAGATGATAATCTATCTGGTAATGCTGTGTGGAGATGGGACAGAGTTCCCGAAGGACAACCATCACTGCAGCCCTCCCCCGATCTGGGCTTTATGGCAGAGTGGCTAGATGGAAGCCTCTCCTCAGTGCAAAACACATGAAAGCCCACTTGGCATTTCCAAAAAAGCACCTGAAGACTGTGAGGAACAAGATTCTCTGGTCTGATGAAACCATGATTGAACTGTTTTGCCTCAATTTTAAATATTGTATTTGAAGGAAACCATGCATTGCTCATCATCTGCCCAATACCATCCCAATAGTGAAGCATGGTAGTGGCAGAATCATGCTGTGGGGCAGTGGTGGGTTGCCCCTGGTTCGGACTGGTTCACAAGAACCGGTAGTAAAACTGGCGGGAGGCCCCACCCACTGCCCCAGATGTCGTCATTGGTGATCTGCGCATGCGCAGAAGCTTCTGTGCATGCACAGAAGCAAGGCACGCACGAGCAGAGAGCATGCGTACGCAATCCCATTCTGAACCGGTAGTAAAGGTAAGTAGAACCCATCCCTGCTGTGGGGGTGTTTTTCAGTAGCAAAGACTGGGAGACTGGTCAGGGTTGAAGGAAAGTTGAATGGAGCAAAGTACAGGGATATCCTCAATGAAAACCTGTTCCACAGCACTCAGAACCTCAGACTCAGCTGAAGGTTCCCTTTCCAACATGACAATAATCCTAAACACACAGCCAAGACAACCCAGGAGTGGGTTGGGGACAACTCTGAGAATGTTCTAGAGTGGTCCAGCCAGAGCCCTGACTTGAACCCTATTGAACATTTCTGGAGGGACCTGAAAATGATTGTCCACCAACGGTCACTGATGATTGCCATCCAATCTGACTGATCTTGAGAGGATTTGCAAGGAAGAATGGCAGAAAAACCCCTCAAGTGTGTAAAACTTGTCTCATCATACTCAAAAAGACTTAAGGCTGTAATTGCTGCCAAAGGTGCTTCACCAAATTACTGAGTGAAGGGTTTGAATATTTATGACAATGTTTTTTTCTTTTTAATAAATTTATAGACATTTCTAAAATTTTGTTTTCACTTTGTCATTATGAGGTTCTGAGCCTAGATTGAGAAAAAATGAATTTCAACAACTGTAGAATCAGTCTGCAACATAACAAAATTGACAAAAGTAAAGGGGGGTCTAAATTCTTTCTGAATGCACTGTATATATAAACTAAACATCTAATATGTAAGTGTATTTTAATATACAATATATAATTTTAATATACAATATATGTGTTAATTTTGATTGTGCACTATGTAGAGGTGGGTATAAAATGGGTGAGTATGTAAATATTTTAAATAAATAAATAGGTATATCCATAAAATCAATCCCTCTCTAATGACCTTTTAAACAATGTTCACATAAATTATACATCTTATATGAGTCTTTTAAAAACCCAAACAGATTTCAATATTTTACTGATACCACATCAAAGTTTATAATTATTTAAGACTGTCACTTTTTCGACTGTAACTTTGCTGTAATAGCATGCTCTAATGTATCCAGTTGAAGAGAGCCTCGATTAGTTTTTCCATAATAGTTTAGGACATTCTGATTTTTAGGTTGAAATTTGTGTGTATGCATGTATGTACAGAATGGTGGTTTCAGGGGGCTTGAGGAATATGTTGTAGCTCTAGCACATGAAACAATTAATCGCTGGAATGGTGACTGGGTCATCATTCCCAATCTTTGTCTCTTCTTCACTGGACAACAGAGTGCAAAGCTCTCTGACCTTTGAGGGTGATCTCTGAAAAATTCTATGGTTGCTAAGACAGCTTTCTATGGATCACTCAGCTGACAGTTTTAGCATCCCATATATTTAAGAACTGCTTGAAGATTTGACATAATTCTTTGGCTCAGATTCATGCTGCTATTAACAGTGAATGCCTGTTTAATGTTACTTGATATATTGGAGCAAACAAAGCAGGGTGGTTTAGGAATGAAAAGGATTCTGTGAATATATATATATAAAGTGTTTTTCTAACGAGACACCTGGTCTACTCCAATATGTGGGAGAGGGCATTCTACTCCCTTTCGCCTTTCAGCTCCAATCCAGCAGCCCTCAAGCAGTCGCATTCACGACAAACCATTTTATACCAAATTTATATTTTGCTGATAAAGAAATAAAGGGAGACTAGTATAGATCTATTTCAAGCATTTTAGCTTTCATCAGCTAGCCATACCCTTACTCGATGTTTATTGCCTCATATATATATATATAAGTGGTTGTAATTTTTCTGCAAATCTTTTGTTGCTTAAATTAGGAGTTAGTTATGTCAAGGTTTTGGAAGCCACTTTAGAAGAGTGGAATGTGCACCTTTCATCTCAAATTCTGCTCAGTATTAATCCTAAATTGAGACTTTTTCAAGTGGCACTCAAATTAATCATACCAAACTGAATCGCACTGATTTCAGTAAGTTTACCTTAAACAGCTGTAATAAGTCAAATTGAAACCTAAAGAAATAAGTTTTCAACTGGGAGAAATACATTTTACAGAGGCCCAATTCATGTCATTAAGAAGCATCATTTATGGTGTAACTGACATCATTTCTATTAAAACCAAGATGGCCTATTTGGACACAAAGAAAGAGGAAACTATCTTTGCTAATGAATCACGGGAATGTGACAGCTGGACTTGGTGGTGAGGAAATGAGCAAAGTCATTTGGCACCTTTCACAAGTTGTATGAATCAGACTTCTCTTTTTCTTTTCTACAATGCCTAATGAAAGCCTAGAGGCAGAAAGTCATTCCTGACAGTGAAAGTGCAATTGGTAGCTTCATCATACCTTTTTTTAAATTTTATTTTGCTTGTTAAGTTATAGGAAATTTTATGTTTGGACTGCAGACAAGTAGGACTACTTTAGTAAAATTATTTTTTGATCTGCAGGTTTCTAAAATAATAGTATTGAAACGTGTCCTAAAAGTTGAAGATTGAGAAAAGTATCAAGAGATACAAGAAGAGGATTTCTATTTGATGTAAGATTTTGTTCTAGAAATAGACAAAATGTTTTGAAGAGAAAAAAAAAAGATTCACCCTTTCATCAAGCAAAAATGTGAAATGGCTATCTCAGGTAGAAGATGGTAGAGACTAGGGAATAAATTGGGTATGTCTAGCCTAGTGAAAAGAAGGACTAGGGGTGTCATGATAGGAGTGTTCCAGTGGTGGGATTCAAATTTTTTTACTAACGGTTCTGTGGGCATGGCTTGGTGGATGTGGCATGACCTTGGAGGGCATGGCAGCGAAAGGATACTGTAAAATCTCCATTCCCTCCCAATCAGCTGGGACTTGGGAGACAGAGAATAGATAGGGGTGGAGCCAGTCAGAGGTGGTATTTACCGGTTCTCCAGAACCGGTCAGAACCTGCTTGGAACACCACCTTTGGAGTGTTCCAGTATCTAAGGGGCTGCAAAGAAGAGGGGATCAACCTATTTTCCAAAGCACCAGAAGGCAAGACAAGAAACAATGAATGGAAACTAACCAAGGAGAGAAGCAACCTACAATAAGGAGGAATTTCCTGACAGTTAAAAGAGTGGAACGGCTGTGCTCCATCACTGGTGGCTTTTAGGAAAAGACTGAATAGTCACTTGTTTGGAATGGTATAGGGTCACCTGCTTGTGCAGGGGTGAACTAGAACACCTCCAAGGTCCCTTCCAACTCTGTTATTCTTCTATAATGTGCCTTTTCCCAAAATCATGGATCTCACTTCACTTCTTGTTTGGTCTACTTCTTTATTTGTCTACATTATATTATTATAATGGCAGTAGACCATTTGACTATTGTTCACTGAGTAATTTGAGTGAAGAACTTTGTTACATTTCATTCTGTTATTTTCTACCATTTGTTTAACCTACTAATATAATTTTAAATATTATTTGCTTGATAGGATATTAACTATCCTAATTCTAATTCTGTATTATCTACAAGTCTTATAACTACTTCCTCCACTTCTTTGGACAAATCATCATTGAAAATATTGAAGAGCAGGGGCCGAAAAGTAATTTTCAAGGCAATCCAATAAATACTTCTTTCCAGTTTTAGTGGAATATTTTAAGTATAATTTTCAAGGCAGTTATATATTCACTAAATTATCAAAGAAACTAGTCAATATTTACTGTACATACTGTACTTTATTTCCTAGGACTAAAGTCTCTTC